ATCCGTTGAAATTATGATATATAATATTATGTAGTGTTGGGAAATGTAGAGGTATAATGTATAATATTATGTAGTGTTGGGAAATGTAGAGGTATAATGTATAATATTATGTAGTGTTGGGAAATGTAGAGGTATAATGTATAATATTATGTAGTGTTGGGAAATGTAGAGGTATAATGTATAATATTATGTAGTGTTGGGAAATGTAGAGGTATAATGTATAATATTATGTAGTGTTAGGAAATGTAGAGGTATAATGTATAATATTATGTAGTGTTGGGAAATGTAGAGGTATAATGTATAATATTATTTACTTTCATCAGTATGATTTGATGGGGAAGCCATGGAGCCAGTCTGAGATGGCCCCACTGCCCACAAAGTATTGATGTACCCTTTAATGGGATATAATAATACCTACATATTATATCAAATACTACGTTACGTGCTTTTTTTAGAAGAAATACTGCCTATAAATGCATTGAAGAAAAATTTTGCCTTCAGTCTCAAGTCAAAAACAGTTGTCGAACATGCAATCGTCTCGTTGGAAGAAGTCGGGTCCTGTGCCATCACACACTGCGTTTGAGCTAAGACTAACAATTATTGAAGAATCATTCACACTGCTCGGACTGTTTTGCGAAATATGCAAATTCCAGTCTCCAAATTCTAACAATCGACGGTTTCTATGACAACCAACAAAGCCGAGCGCAAATAATACGTCATTTTTGGTGGGCCCATGCTGAAAAGAGATTGTTTCATTGGCAGTTGTTGCTCCACCATTGTGGCGAGTGGTGTCTGGTGTTTCATCCATCAAAAACTGCTTATTCTACTTCGGTAAGTCTTTTTTTCTACCCAGTTCCTGTGTACATTTAACAAACTAAGTTTGTTAATATTACAGGCCCGTGCCCAGGATTTTTTTTGGGGTGTTGCCCAAATTTTCTTCATACTCAGAATTGTGAAAAATATCCTTGTCAATTTATTTTAGTTAGCTATAAATGAAATGACTTTGCATATAAATATGGGAAATTAATATGAATTACTACAAAACTGTATTGGTTGTTCTCTTCATGGTATGTCTGAAACAAGATGGTCAGATCGTGTTGAATGTGTAAAGCCTTTTGCAGCACACTTGCCTGGTATTAAATTAGCACTGGAAGACCTCCTAGAACTAAAGTCGATGGCCAAAACAAGAAATGAAGTCCATGGAGTTTTATTATATGTGACATCTTTTGCCTGTGTGTTAATGTCAGCTGTGTGGTACAAAATATTAGCTGGCATAGATAATTGCAACAAGGTCATCCAAGCCAGAGATGTCACACTGGATGTTGAAGAAACGAACATAGAAATTCTCCTCACAGATCTGACAAAACCTCGAAACAACTGGAAATGTATGTGGAATGAAGCCATATTGGTTGCGTCAAACCTAAAGATAGAAACAGAACTCTCCTGTAGATGTGGTGGAGTTAGCCACAAGAGGGCAAGGTCACATGATGACAGCACACCTGGTGCTAACTTGGAGGAAATGAATGACACAGATGATATGCCAGAAGAGGCCTACTTCAGAAAGTGTGTGTTTTACGTTTTGGTAGACAATGTTACAGCAGGATTAACTGTCAGCTTCAATGCTGTTAAGCAGTTGGCTGAAAATTTTGATTTCTTGTGGAAATATCTCACAGTGTCTGAAAGTGATGTGGAGAGAAAAGCTTTATCTTTATGAGAACAATATTCACCTGACCTTAATGGTGATGATTTTGGAAAATATATGCAACATTTACCCTCAGTACATAAAGCAAATTTTGGAAATGCACAGTTGAAGCCATTAGATCTGCTGAACATGTTAACAGAGTACAGACTTGGTGACCTGTTTCCAAATGTTTGTGTTAGCTCAAGAATACTATTAACAATTCCAGCAACAGTAGCTTCTGCAGAGAGGTCATTTAGCAAACTCAAGCTGATTAAGAATTATTTAAGGTCTACAATGTCTCAGGAACGTCTTGTGAATTTGGCCAGGCTAAGTATTGAATCAAACATTGCCAGAACAATTAATTTTAATGCTGTGATTCAACATTTTTTCACACACAAAAAAAGGCCAGGAAAGCTCTTTTTGTAAAGTAAATACTAAGCCTATCTACCTTTTTTTTACATTTTAATAATAATTATGTTTTCTGATCTGCATTGCAATATAAAAGGATGTTTCAATGTGAATTCTTTCTCCTTATCTGTATTGTAGAATAAACAAAGATGTTTAAATGTGTATTCTTCTCTCTGATCCTCTTTTATTTTATTTATATTTATCATGGAGGGAGTATAGGAGCATGAGGCCTCTAATGCAGAAAATCAACAGAGTGCTCCATTCCACCCCTCTCTCATCTTGCGTACCCTTTTTGGCCTTGCAGCTCACGGCATAAAACCGTAGTGGATAAAAACAGGATGATTAATGGAGAAGGGAAGGGGGCCCGAAAGAAACTTTGTACCCCCTGATAAAATTCCTTTCAGAGACCCTGTTTAGTCATAATCATACTTCACCAGCTTTGAAAAGGTGTTTACACCATAACAGTTAAGGTTATGTCAGAAACCCTGTTTAGTCATAATCATACTTCACCAGCTTCGAAAAGGCATTTACACCATAACAGTTAAGGTTATGTCATAAACCCTGTTTAGTCATAATCATACTTCACCAGCTTCGAAAAGGTGTTTACACCATAACAGTTAAGGTTATGTTTGCTAGATCTTTACTAACAGTTTGGTTCATTTTTCTTAAATACTTTGCTAGGTCTTTACTAAACAGTTTGGTACATTTGCAATATGTATGGCCAAATCTACTATTCAATCAAAAAATAACCAAATCATGAGTGGACAGACGAGACCAACCAAAGTCACTTTTTGTTCTAACAAAACAAATACAATCAATAAAATGAAATTACAACAAGAGAGGAATTGTATGACGACCTCACACTCTTACTCCCAGTCATCTTCATCTTCAGCACCATCTGAAACAGGTTTGGGTGGAGGAGGAATCATGGCAGAAATACGTCCCATGGCACTGGCCGCTGATGCTGGAGAAGGTGATTCTTTCTGCGGTTCAGCCGTATTACCTTTAGCATTGCCTGAAAAATGAAGAACAGTTAACACTTGCTAACAAAATAAAAACACCTTAAACATACTTTACATTGGTGTACGTCTAACAAAATAAAAACACCTTAAACATACTATCCATAGATGTGTACGTCTAACAGAAATAAAAACACCACGTACACCAATGTAAAGTATGTTTAACGTGTTTTTATTTTTGTTAGACGTACACATCTATGGATAGTATGTTTAAGGTGTTTTTATTTTTGTTAGACGTACACTAGTGTAAAGTATGTTTAACGTGTTTTTATTTTTGTTAGACGTACACATCTATGGAGAGTATGTTTATGGTGTTTTTATTTCTGTTAGACATACACATCTATGGATAGTATGTTTAAGGTGTTTTTATTTTTGTTAGACGTACACCAGTGTAAAGTATGTTTAAGGTGTTTTTATTTCTGTTAGACGTACACATCTATGGATAGTATGTTTAAGGTGTTTTTATTTTTGTTAGACGTACACCAATGTAAAGTATGTTTATAACAGAGTACTACACAACGTTTCAAATGTTAACAGAGTACTACACAACATTTCAAGTGTTAGCAGTGTACTACACAACACTTCAAGTGTTAGCAATGTATATTACACAACGTTTCCAGTTTTAGCAGAGTACTACACAACGTTTCAAGTGTTAACAGAGTACTACACAACGTTTCAAGTGTTAACAGAGTACTACACAACGTTTCAAGTGTTAACAGAGTACTACACAACGTTTCAAGTGTTAACAGAGTACTACACAACGTTTCCAGTGTTAGCAGAGTACTACACAACATTTCCAGTGTTAACAGAGTACTACACAACGTTTCAAGTGTTAACAGAGTACTGTTTTTATTTCTGTTAGCACAACATTTCAAGTGTTTTTCAAGTGTTAACAGAGTACTACACAACATTTCAAATGTTAACAGAGTACTATGTACTACACAACACCTGCTAACACTTGAAATGTT